TTGGAAAATATTGGAAAAAATATCAGAACTTTTTTGCATAAACTTTTTTCCAAACAGACCTTTTCTCAGAAGCTGAGCACCATTTTTTTCTATAGGAAAATATCTTCCAAAGCCGAGGAGCAATTTTTTTCTTTACAATAAATCTTGAGGAGCTGTGAATAAATAGCTTTTATATAAAAAAATCTTTAGAACCCCACAACTAATCCCTAGAAGCTGATAAACTATTATTTTATAGCATTTTTTTTTTAATTTTTTTATAGTAAAAATAAAAAAATACTCACAATGATTTTTTTTTCAATGAAAGCTTTTCAACGAACTTATTTTGCTATAGCAACAAAAAACCGTTTTAGGAAGTTTCTAGGAAGGTTATTAAAAATCGATAACGCAGACGACATAAACTTGTCAAATTGGATCCTAAGTATACCACATTTTCCATTCTAACTCCCGCTAATGTATAATTTGGAATTTTAAAATTTTCATATGCTAAAACCGAATCAAAACAGATCGGTGTGTTTAAAATCTCATCTCCTCCACAATTTAAGAAGGTGCAAAAATATTCTCAAAATTCATCTGTATTTTAAACCAGTGAGCGGAGTAGTATAGTCGGACGGGCCGGCCATATGATACCCTACACAACTACCATAAAAATCTAACTTTCTGTGGAAAATCTAACTTTCGGTGAACCTGGCAATATTTCGCGATATTGCCGATCTTGACCGATTATAGGCCAACAGCTCCATTTTCTAACCTTGGCATATTGTTTGGAAAATCTTGTTTCCCCGAGGTGGATATTTCCGCCATAAAGTGAAAATTTGGTCACTTTAGATTTTGATTGAATGTTGACCGATCATCATATACAGTCATTTTAAGTATTTGCTCAGATCCATGTAAAATATGCAACGACTAGCAAATCTGACAAAAATAAAGTTTTCAGTTCCCCCCTAAATAGCATCTCAACATCACTGAAAATTATAGACGTCGTCCTTGACCATAACCGGTCCATTTGACCCGCTAAATAATTGCCGATCTTTATCAAAACAGGCATGCTTATTCTTTGGCCCGATCCCTTTCTCCATGTAAAATTTCGCTATGTTCGAGCCATCATTGCGGTCTCTGGAGCGACCAGAAAATAAGACAAAAATGTAGTATTTGGTCCATTTTATACCCTAAATATTAACCGATCTTTACCACAAACAATAGGGGTCCACATTGGCCAGAACCCATCCTACATGCAAAATTTCGTGAAGATTGGTCCATAACCGTGTTTACAAATTATAATGGACAGACGGACGGACACACATGTCTAGATCGACTTAGCTGGTAGAGATATGATCGGTATACTTAAAGGTGGGTCTAGGACCAATATTTCGAGGCGTTACAAAGTCTTGGGGCTGTACAAAGCTATAATAACCTGACGACATAGTTGTGTCGGGTATACAAATCTACATCCTTATAGGGCTTGAAAACTATGTTTTTTGAAAGCTCTATTCTGAGCTTGAAAATAAGTGCTGTAATTAATTAACGTTTCGCTGTGACATTAAAAATATTTTTTTTGTATATATAAATTTGAGTACCAAATGTACCACGGTTATTGATCTACGTAGGTAATAACTTTAAAAAATTTTAAAAATTATATATATGAAACATATTTATAATTTTTTTCTTCGAGTATATGTGAAAATACCTCAAGAATAATTCCTCAAAATTGGATCCAAATATCTCCATTATTAAAAGTTTTACAACATTTTTATTCGAAAAAAGGTACAAATGTACCTGGCTATTGACCGTAGAGTTGAGTCCACCTTCTGTTAGTTCTTGAAAAATTGTTTTCCTAAAAACACAGCAGACCCGACGAACTTCGTGTCGCCCCACTAAGAAATTAAAATTCGAAAAACACTTCCACACAAATTTCCATATCAAAATAATTCATTCGGTATTTCCAATTTCGCGACTTTTCTCAAATCTTTTCTCAAACCTTCCCACTGCAATTACAAACAATCGAAATGAAATGTTAGTCAAATCAGCCCAGCCGTTTTCATACGATGAATTGCTATACATTTTTTACACCATTTTTTCAAAGCACAGTCTTTGTTAGAGGATTCTAAAATAAGTTTCTGAATTTATGTTCCAAACCTTCAACTCTATTTTACATATATTAGCATTATTTATCACCTAAAATAAAAATGCAACCTAGTTATATAAAATAACAGTACGAAACGTTACCAATTCCCAGGCAAACCCACAAAAGGATGAGTTAACTCCCACGATTATGTAAATTTAAAAAACAATTCTCACGATCGAATAAAAACAAAGAGAAACAAAAGATAACAAATAACACCCTATTAAGATAACACACACATACACACAAAACCTCCCGACTACTTCAAATAACTCAACAGAAAAAACTCACTCATCTTCAATTTTAAAATTAAAGAGGGAGAAAACAACAACCACCACTCATCCTTGTTGCGATGATCCTCAAAATTGTTGCTCTCTAAAAGTATATATAAAATATAATTTGGTGTGTAATTATGCAACGGTAACAAAACAAAACTCTCCTCTGACAACCTGAAGCGGTCAATTTCTCCCCTTCAACAAAATGGGCAACTTGTAACTATGCGCTGCACTCCCCCATCAAACAAACATTTAGTTCCGTTTTTCATTTTGCTGTGTGGCTACACGGCAGGTGTACATCCTTTGTATACCAGCCAGTGTCATTACCTGTCAGCTAATCTTCAGTGTGTGTGCGTGCTTGCTTGCGCAAGTGCCATATGGCAAATTACTGCAGTTTTGTTTTTTTTTCGATTCTAACAATTGAATGGTTTATTTCCACAGCGTCGTATTAAGGGTGCCATTTTCCATTCCGATGATGATATACGATGGGAATTTGTTTGTTGGCATTACATTGTGGATCGGCGCAAAAGTCATTTCGCTGACATATGGTGACACAATTGAGTGTGCGTGAGGTAATTGGTAACGTGGTAATGGAAAAACCCAAATTCCTTTTTTTTTTAATGCTGGCAATTGTTTTGGGTACAACATAGAACACATGGAATGGGTGGTATTCAAATAGAAGAAGGCCATCAGGAGGGGTTTTTTTTGACAGACCAAAATTTGTTTTTCTCAGAGGAGGGCATACAAAGACAACAGCATATGGAGTGGGTGGTATTCTAATAGAGGATCATAAGGACTTATTTGGTTAATGGAGATAAACTCAAATAAGGTCTTCTGTGCTGTGATTATTTGGTCCAGAAGACCATAAACAGATATTCCCTCAGAAAACCAACAAGTCTTCTAATAGAGGACCTGTAGTTCTACATAAAGAAGAAGAAATAGAGGACCAAAATTACTTCTTATAAGAGACCAAAAATTTCTTCTTATAGAGAACCTGAAGAAGAAGTTCTTATAGAATGTTCTCTCATAGAAGAGTCGAAGATCTTATTCTAAAATATCAGAATGTCTACTTATAGAAGGCAAGAAGACCAAAAAGTCTTCTTGTGGAGGACCAAAAGGACTACTTATACAGGGTTAAAAGGACCAGAAAATCTTATTATACAGGAGATATTTTATAAACACCAAGGTCTTCCCATAGAAAGACCCGAAGAACGCCAGAAGGTGTTCCTATTGAATTCTTTAAGAGAAAATGTTCCCAAGATTATCCGAGACATCAACGTGGATTGTAGAAATAATATTTTTCAAGGACTATCAGAGCCATAAACGTGGATATTTTAAAGAATGTTTTTCAAGGACTATCAAAAACATAAAAATTGATTTTTTAGAAAATATTTTTTTAAAGGACTATCAGAGCCATAAAAGTGGGATTTTTAAAGAATATTTTTGAAGGACTAACAGAGCCATATATGTCGATTTTGGAAGGACTATCAGAGCCATAAACGTCGATTTTTTTGAAGGCCTTTCTGAACTGTAAACGTAGATTTTTTAGAGAATATTTTTGAAGGACTATCCAAGCCATAAAAGTGGATTTTTTAATGTCTTTCAGAGCCACAAACATGGATTTTTTTAAAGAATATTTTCGAAGAACTATCAGATTTTTCCCCTTTCCAGCTTGTGTAAAGATGGCTATCTATTTATGTAGAAGACTCCCTTCAGCTCGTCTATAAAGACTCCCTTCAGCTCGTCTATAAAGACTACCTTCAGATCGTCTATACAGACTTCCTTCAACTCGTCTATAAAGACTCCCTTCAGCTCGTCTATAAAGACTCCCTTCAGCTCGTCTATAAAGACTCCCTTCAGCTCGTCTATAAAGACTCCCTTCAGCTCGTCTATAAAGACTCCCTTCAGCTCCTCTATAAAGACTCCCTTCAGCTCGTCCATAAAGACTCCCTTCAGCTCGTCTATAAAGACTCCCTTCAGCTCGTCCATAAAGACTCCCTTCAGCTCGTCTATAAAGACTCCCTTCAGCTCGTCTATAAAGACTCCCTTCAGCTCGTCTATAAAGACTCCCTATCAGCTCGTCTATAAAGACTCCCTATCAGCTCGTCTATAAAGACTCCCTATCAGCTCGTCTATAAAGACTCCCTATCAGCTCGTCTATAAAGACTCCCTATCAGCTCGTCTATAAAGACTCCCTATCAGCTCGTCTATAAAGACTCCCTATCAGCTCGTCTATAAAGACTCCCTATCAGCTCGTCTATAAAGACTCCCTATCAGCTCGTCTATAAAGACTCCCTATCAGCTCGTCTATAAAGACTCCCTATCAGCTCGTCTATAAAGACTCCCTATCAGCTCGTCTATAAAGACTCCCTATCAGCTCGTCTATAAAGACTCCCTATCAGCTCGTCTATAAAGACTCCCTATCAGCTCGTCTATAAAGACTCCCTATCAGCTCGTCTATAAAGACTCCCTATCAGCTCGTCTCTTAAGACTCCCTTCAGCTGGTCTACAAAGACTCCGTTCAGCTGGTCTACAAAGACTCCGTTCAGCTCGTCTATAAATTAAATTATTCTAATATTAAAAAAATATATTTTTTTTCATTCCAGGTGTTGGTGCAATGGATTCCTTAACCGGTTACACCATACTCGTCAGTGTTGCTCATACTCTGTCACGTTTGCTCAAGGATAAACAACAATTGAGGAATCCCAAATTAAATATTCTCTTTATGATATTTAACGGTGAATCGTATGATTATATTGGTTCGCAGCGTTTTGTCTACGATTTGGAGAATTTATCGTTTCCCAAACCCTCAACCCACACAGCACCCATTACTTTCGATAATATTGAATTTATTTTGGATTTGGGTACATTCGATGAAATTACCAATATTAAGCTGCACACAATATTGGAATTTCCACAGGCCAAAACGTTGCTAATGAAGTTGCAGAAATATGGCAACACTCCCAAATATGATTTCAATATAAATTTCCAGAGTTTTGTGGGCTATCAAATGCCACCAACATCGGCACAATCGTTTTTAAGGAAAAACATTTCATTCCCTGCTGCAATCTTGAATGCACCCCCCAAAAATCGTTTCTATCATTCGGTATATGATGATGGGGCAAATTTGAAATATAATTATACCAATTCATCGCTGGATTGGACAAAGTTAATGGTGAACGGAGATGCGGGGAAATATTTCCATGCGGAAGATGTACAAATGAAAATACGCAATGTTTCAGCGGTGGTGGCAATGTCTTTGTATGAAATGTTAACCGGGCAGGAATACAGTGGTGAGGAGTTACCCAGCCCAATATTAATCGATGAGATTTTGTATTGTTTTATAAAGTCGCAAAATTGTCCGCTGTTCTTTGCTGCCTCAAAGCCGAATAGTTTTTCGAAGTTGCCTTTGATTGCACCAAATCGGTGAGTTTTGAAATTAGATTTTAATTTTATTTCATTATTCAATTTTTTTTTTAATTTCAGCTATATAAGTGTAAATCGAGATAGCCAGGAGGCCACCATATGGACTTATCGCATAATGGGTTATTTGCTCTCACAAAAAATACCCAATGCCAGCCAGGAAAATTGTACCCAATTGCCAAAATATTGGTTTGCTGGCTATAGCAAACAGGGAGAGTGTGGCCTGACCACACAAAACTTTTCATTAGCCTTAAGTCCTGCATTTATCATAGAAAGTGAGTAGGTTGAATTATATAAGACTATTCCATAAACCTATCTGGACAAGTTCAGCACGAATGAGGGAAATCTTAAAGACCAGCAGAGCAAAAGGGAGTACTTTTAGGCGAGCTGAAGGAAGACTTTATAAGTGAGCTGAAGGGTGTCATTATAGACGCCTGGAAGGCATATGTAGGCTGAAGGGCTTCTTTATATACAAACTAGAGGATATCTTTATATACGAGCTGAAGGGAGTCTTTATAGTCGAGCTGAAGGGAGTCTTTATAGACGAGCTAAAGGGAGTCTTTATAGACGAGCTGAAAGGAGTCTTTATAGACGAGCAGAAGGGAGTCTTTATAGACGAGCTGAAAGGAGTCTTTATAGACGAGCTGAAGGGAGTCTTTATAGACGAGCTGAAGAGAGTCTTTATAGACGAGCTGAAGGGAGTCTTTTATAGACGAGCTGAAGGGAGTCTTTTATAGACGAGCTGAAGGGAGTCTTTATAGACGAGCTGAAGGGAGTCTTTATAGACGAGCTGAAGGGAGTCTTTTATAGACGAGCTGAAGGGAGTCTTTTATAGACGAGCTGAAGGGAGTCTTTTATAGACGAGCTGAAGGGAGTCTTTTATAGACGAGCTGAAGGGAGTCTTTTATAGACGAGCTGAAGGGAGTCTTTTATAGACGAGCTGAAGGGAGTCTTTTATAGACGAGCTGAAAGGAGTCTTTATAGACGAGCTGAAAGGAGTCTTTATAGACGAGCTGAAGGGAGTCTTTTATAGACGAGCTGAAGGGAGTCTTTTATAGACGAGCTGAAGGGAGTCTTTTATAGACGAGCTGAAGGGAGTCTTTTATAGACGAGCTGAAGGGAGTCTTTTATAGACGAGCTGAAGGGAGTCTTTTATAGACGAGCTGAAGGGAGTCTTTTATAGACGAGCTGAAGGGAGTCTTTTATAGACGAGCTGAAGGGAGTCTTTTATAGACGAGCTAAAGGGAGTCTTTATAGGCGAGCTGAAAAGAGTCTTTATAGGCGAGCTGAAGGTAGTCTTTATAGGCGAGCTGAAGGTAGTCTTTATAGGCGAGCTAAAGGGAGTCTTTATAGGCGAGCTGAACGGAGTATTTATAGGCGAGCTAAAGGGAGTCTTTATAGACGACCTGAAGGGAGTATTTTATAGGCGAGCTGAAGGGAGTCTTTTATAGGCGAGCTGAAGGGAGTCTTTTATAGGCGAGCTGAAGGGAGTCTTTATAGGCGAGCTGAAGGGAGTCTTTATAGGCGAGCTGAAGGGAGTCTTTATAGACGAGCAAAGGCGAAAATTAGAAGGAAGTCTTCATGGACGAGGTAAGAGGAATCTCTATAGAGTCTTAATGGAGGTGTTTTTTTCTATATGAAGCAGAAATAGTTTTTTTATTATTGAACTATAGAAATTATTTTGTAATTATCTGCTGTCTAGAAACGAGGCTTATTGGGACCCAATTTATTTTATTAAACAAAATATATTTCCTTATAGATTACAATTGGAGTTCTGGTGAATATTCCACATGGACTGAATCAACATGGAGCTCGTTGAGTTCACGACTATTTTTGCGTCCGTCCCGTACCCATGAAATTGTTACACTAAGCACCGGCGTTTTGGTATTTTTCATTTCGTTCTGTCTGATTTATATTATCAGTACACGTTCAGAAGTACTATTTGAAGATCCTGGACCAAGTGCCAGCACCGATGCGTAAGATATTTGATTAATATTTTTTAGTTCATTTTTCTCTTATATATTTTTTATATATTTCTATATGTGAGTGTGTGTGTGTTTCTCTTTAGTATTTTTAGGTGATATTTAATCCTATAAATTTTTTATATTTTTTTCTTTCTTTTTTGTGTTTTTTATTTTCCTGTAACACCCATCCTTTGGATAACAATAGGTTAAACCCACCAACAGCTTGTTAATTATGACCACTACCACCACCAACTCCACCATATCACCACCAATTCTAAAGACACTGATTTTTTAGCACCACAAACTACTACTACAACAACTATTCTAACACTGACAACATCAACAACAACAAAAATGTGTGACAACAACTTTAAGCTAATATTTTTTTTAGTATAGTGTGGAGTCTCTAGATTGTGCTTTATATGGTAAATATGTGTTGTGTATAATCATTTCATAATTTTTAGATCTTTATTTTATTATTTTGATTTTCCATAGAAATTGTGAAATATCATTTCATTATATTATGTAGAAGAGATTATTTTGGTTTCTTCATTAAAATTGGTTTAATATTTTTGAGTAAGAATGCCCAGATAAACATTATAAACTAGATTATGAATGGATTATTTATATTATAGTATTTATACACAGGCTTATGTGATAGGATTCATAATATTTAAGTTAAATTATATTGAAATTTAAACTGAAACAAATTTTTGTGAGATCATTTTATTTTTTGCTTTGGAGAATATATCTCTTCCAAAAACATCCAGCACCCCTGTGTCGATAATATTTAATTTATTTTGGATTTGGGTATCTTGAAATCACCAATAGTTGCACATAACATTGGAATTCTAACAGACCAAAACGTTACTAATGAAGCTGCAGAAATATGGCAACACTAACAAATATGATCTCAATATAAATTTCAAAATTTTAGTGGGCTATTAAAAACCACCAACAACGTATGTATGGGCTGAGGATAAATAATCTTAATAGTTGATCTAAAATATGGAACATTTTTATAAAGAAGCTGAACTTAATAGGGATTTTATTAGAAAAAAATTCGCTGAAGCTAATGCAATCGTTTAAATACTAGTTGATGGAGTCTCATACATATGTTTGTACCTATAGACGAGCTGTAAGCTTGAATTGTATGCAAGTCTATGTCAAAGGAATCTTTTTTAAAAAACCTGAGTGGAAAGGGAAGAAGTTTTTTAGACGAACTGAAGGGAGTCTGTAGACGAGTTAAAGTAATGTTTTTATACAGGAGCTGAAAGGGAAACCCAATTGTGGATCTTTTTTTTATGGGCGAGTTATATTCAGAAAGTTGTCTATACCAACAAAAAAAGAACCTGCGGTCGTAAAAAATTTGTTTTTATTATAAGTTGCAGTTATGCTGAAATGACAGGGTTTTAAATATAGATCGATTATTTATGGACGGACTGAAATGAAACGAATTTTATACATAATATTAAAAATGAGCTGAGGCGAAGTAAACCTTTATGTTTGCTCGGAAGTTTAGGAATTCTATATAAACGACCCAAATTAAATTGCAAACTGCTCTTCTACAGACTACCTTCAATTTAGCTTTTTTGAAGAACTGGAGCAAAGGTATTTTATAGGCGGACAGAAGGATGTATTTAAAAGTTTTCTGAATGAGATAAGGCGAATTGATTCCTTATGGATGAGCTGTGTCCTGGAGAATTTTAAATGGGAATTGCAAACGCGTTTTGAAAGACTGGGATTATTTGTAAACGAGAAGAGACTGCATGTAAACGATCTGAATGTATGAATTTCTTAACGGTTCAAGGAGGAGTCTTCTATAGGCAATCTAAAGACAGTGAGACTACTATGGGCAATTTGAAGGCAGGAAATCTTTTTATGGTTAAAAATTTCAATAATCGAGCTGAAGGAAATATGTTTATAGACAAACCTATTAAACGAGATGAAGGAAAGCATAATAAATGCGGCCTTATAGTCGAGCTAAAGTCGGTATTTATAGAAGAGTTGAAGGCGGTCTTTACAAACGAACTGTAGATGGTCTTTATAAAAAATTAAGGAGGATATTTTTGAAGAGTTGAAGACGATCTTTATACCATCATGACGAGCTGGAGGTAGACTTAATAATAAAGTTGAGTGCTGTCTTATAGTCGAGCTGAAGTCGGTCTTTGCAGAAGAGTTGAAGGCGCATTTTGCAGACGAACTGTAGGTGGTCTTTATAAAAAGAAAATTAAGGAGGATATTATTGATGAGTTGATGGCGGCCTTTATAGACGAGCTATTGAGCTGTAGACGGTTTTTATAGAAGAGCTGAAGGCGGTCTTTATTGACAAGCTGAAGGGAGTTTTTTTGGGCGATCTAAGGGTAGTCGTTATAGACAACCTAAAGGGAGACTTTATAGAGAAGGAAGTCTTCGTAAACGAAGTGAAGGGATTATTTATAGACGAGTTAAATGTAGTCTCTTTCGACGAAGTCTATGGCGTCTTAATTTAATGAATAACCAAAAGTTAATTTGAGCAGAATGAGGGAGTCAATATATACAACAGTTTATGAAGTGAGTAATAAAGTATTCAGATAGGATCTCAAATTTTAAAGTCTACTTATCTGAATAGAGAATCATAATCTCCAAAAAGGCATTATTCCACGCCACTTTCAAATATTTAAACCAGTGAACGGAGCAGTATAGTCGGACGGCCTCGACCAGCTAATAACCTACACATCTATCCCTGAACTTTAACATTCTACGGATCTATATTTGGAGACTGCACAACATTTCGTGAGATCCTCTTTCTTATCCCATCGTCTTTTCCAAATTGTATTTTCCCGAAGTGAACATTTATAATATAAGATTTAAATTCATTTGTCTTGGTTCATTTGACACGATAAATATTTCACCGATTATCATTAAAACAGACATTCTACTTAGTTGGCCGGATTTCCGTCTCACGGTGTAAAAGTTGTAATGTTCGGCTTATAATTGACTAGAAAACTGGGCGGCATAAAGTTTTCGGTTCATTTTTATCGAAAATTACAGGCGTCGTCTTTGACATGTCTAATTTCAAAGGGATGAAGGTCCAACCACTTCTCTTGGATATAATTTCAATTTCTCGAATCTACGTACTTTAGGAGTTTGGATCTTTACCAAAAACAATAGGCGTCTTCTTTGGCCAGAACCGGTCCTACACTTTTCAGATAGAATCTAATGATCCTCAAAACACTTTCATAAAAAGGCACGTCTTTAGACTCTCAAAAATTAGGTAAAAAAACCCAAAGTTTCATATTGAAGTTATTTATTTTTTTTCCAAATTCATGATCTCAGCAAGGTCATCAAAAATATTCTAAAAAATCCATGAACTTTCTAATATATATTTTAAAAAATGTAAGTGATTTTCAATGAATTTAAAAATGCCATTGTATTGGTTCTATAATGATAACGTCATAATCATATTATTTATTGGACATTTTATTTTATGACACGGGTTTTTTATTTCAAAAATATATATTTAAAATAAATTATAAACAAATTTGTATGAAACCAAAATAATCTCAGCTAGAAGACGCACATCACCCACAATTCCATGACATTTCACAAACTTAGAATTTATTTTTTTATTTAAATTTAAAAATGTCCTCAATGCTTTTGAAAAGCCCACTCATTTAATACATAATCTTCTTTACTCATACAATTCCATGCAAAATTAATTTCAAAATTCTAAAAATAACGAAAATACTTAATCACATTCATATCCATTATTTTATTACATATTTTGATAATTATTATAAATAAAATACAAAATACAATAATTAAAAAACAGAAAAACAAACTGTAAACTGATAAAAGACATACATCATACATATATACAAACTAATATATAATTGTAGCGACAAAACCTATTTTTCTTTTTCTAAAAAAATGTAGAATAACAAGAATTAAAATTGATATCATAATTATATTTTGTTACAGTAAGTATTGTATTATAGTTAGCTAAAAAAACAAAACACAAGAAAATAATTATTTTATTATTAATAAATATTTACTATACAGTTAAAGTACTCCATATATTTTTCAAACTCACAAATAAACAATTAAATAAAAACATACAAAATCGGACTTTTTTCCATAAATTGTAAATAAATATAAAATTGAAAAAAAAACAAATTATTAAAATGTATTATTATTAGTTTTGAAAAAAAATATGAAAATCAATAAAATCAGGTCTTTTTTAAAATTAAACATTACAAATTAAAAATTGATATCTATTTTTTAAATCACATGCTATTTTATTAAGGCAAATATACATATATTTTTTCAATATATAGCAATTCTCATAATACTAGACCTTGTTCAACTCAATACAATAAGAAGAAATAAATAAACAAAAAAAAAATAAATAAATACTCAAAAAAAAATAAATAAATAATTGCCAAGGCATCAGTACACAAAGTGACTATATAGTGTATTTAATATTTTTTTCTTGATTTTTATAAATATATATAAAATAAACAATAAATACATCTTCAACTCTGTAACAATAATTTAGAGAAGCCAAATAAAAAATAAATATACGTAAACTATAAAACAAAAATGAAATAAGAATTATATTTGTTGTTGTTATTGAAGTCTAGATTTTTAAGACTTGTACACAGAGAATCAAAATCTAGATTTCAATGACAATTTGTTATCATTAATATACCTAAATTTGAGTTCAGAATTTTTGAATCGATAGGTCTCACTTGAAATCACCCGATACTAACTCTTAAAATAAAGTAAAATTCTCTAAAGTGAAGTAAAATTCTGCTAGTGGATTTTAATGCAAAAATCGGAAAGGAAAATATTTTTGGCGCCACCGTCGGAAAATTCAGCCTCCATGAAGAAACATCAGACAAAGGCATGAGGTTGATTGACTTTGCGGCAGCAACAAAACATGGTAGTTAGCAGCGCCAGATTCAAGCATTTCGATGAACCCAAGACCACCTGAATTTCTCCTGATCAAACAACGAGAAATCAAATCGATCATGTTGTGATAGACGGAAGGCATTCATTCAGTGTTTTAGAGTATACTCGTTCCGAGGATCGCATTCGTCTCAATGTAGCAGCAAAGATGCAATCTAACACAACACGGAAACCTGACATCGAAAAGCTGCAAACACAACAAGTAGCAGAATGCAACTCCGCTCAACATACCCACCTGCTTTACGAAAGCACTACTTGTCTCGATAATAGTATAGAAGCACAATGGCAAAGAATTATCAACTCCCTACAAACTGCAGCAAAAGCTACTCCTGGGTACCAAAAAATACCATAAATTAACCCGTGGTACGATCAGTTGTATCGTAATGCTACTGATATGAAAAACGCAGCGTATAGAACAACCCTGCAGACAGTAGCAACACGTAATGCAAAGAGAGTTATCGAGAGAAAAGGAGAGAGGAGAAACGTATTTTCAGAAGAAAGAACAAGAAAAACGTGAGCGTGAACAAATCTAGATGTACAGGAGTCAGAATGAAGTACGGAAATGTTACCAACGAGTAAAGAGCAAACCGAAGGCTTTGGTGCAGGCACATCCTCCGGTAGAGATGAAGATGGAAACCTGGTGACAGATACATACAGCGTGTTGAGGATCTGTAAGGAGCATTTTGAAAAGCTTCTGGTATCCAATAGTGGCGGTGAAGAAGATACTTTAGAACCCATAAGAGATGACGGTATAGAGTGTATACCTCGTAGCCAATATCAGCAGTTATAGTCGGAAAGGACTTCTGATAGCCTTCAGACAAGGTGACAGTTTGTCGTGTGACCTGTTCAGCATCCTACTGGAAAAGGTCATACGAGAAGCACTCTGAACACCAAACAGCATATGGCGAGTAACATATGCTGTTTGGACGCCGAGGACATCGATGTAATGGGTCAAACATTGTGAGCGGCAAATTCCATTTTGAACAAATTGAGGATGAGTCTGCCAAAGTGGATGTGGCAGCAAATGGCGAGAAGACCAATCTGTTGGTATCAACGCACAAGACGTCCAGCGTCGAGGTTGTCTAACATTTTATATACCTCGGTACCGCCTTAAATAGAATTAATGACATCAGTTTTGAAGTTCGGAGAAGGATAGTGTTGGCCGACAGATGCGAGTAGGGTCTGAGTAAGCAACTCAAAAGAAAGGCCACCTCTTGGCAGACCAAACTCACACTCTACAAGACACTGATATTACCGTCCTATCTATGGGCAAATCTGCGTCGATGGTGAATATCGCTGTCGAATGAACCATGAGTTGTACCATTCTTGGACATCGGCATTGCCAGACGTATCGAGCTGCAGCGACTACGTTGGCTAGGACATGTTGCGAGAATGGATGAGGATGCCCCAGCACAAAGGGCATACAAAAGCAAGCCAAGTGATGGTTCACGCAGAAGGGGAAGGCCACGAATCCGATGGAAATATCAAGTAGAAGACATCATCTCGGAACATGGTCTTTCAAATTGGATGAGATGCGCACAAGACCGACGCGCTTGGAAAGCCTTTTTTAAGCTGGGCTTATGGAACAACCGTTCTGTCTCACGTCAGCTATGTAAATAGGCAAGCAGGGCGTGGATTTTTTAAAAGAATATTTTCTGCAGTGACCATTCAAGACGTGAATTTTTTAAAAGAATATTTTCTGCAGTGACCATTCAAGACGTGGATTTTTTAAAAGAATATTTTTTCAGGGCCCATTCAAGGAGTGGATTTTTTAAAAAAATATTTTCTGGAGTGACCATTCAAGATTTTTTAAAAGAATATTTTTTCAGAGCCCATTTAAGGAGTGGATTTTTTAAAAAAATATTTTTTGCAGTGTCTATTCAAGGCGTAGATTTTTTAAAAGAATATTTTTTCAGGGCCCACTCAAGGAGTGTTTTTTTAAAAGAATATTTTTTGCAGTTTCTATTCAAGGCGTAGATTTCTTAAAAGAATATATTTCCAGGGCCCACTCAAGGAGTGGTTTTTTAAAATAATATTTTTTGCAGTGTCTATTCAAGGAGTGGATTTTTAAAAGAATATTTTTATGGACAAATCCCTGTCTCTTTTCTTCCAAAGCTTTACAACCCCATTTCAAACCACTGATGACAGTTATTTTCGACGTTTACCAACACTGCTTCCATCTCAAGGGCAGAGTGCATGCCATGGTACAATTATAAAAGGTAACAGCAAATCCCAGCTGATTTGATTCCAACGTAATACTAGTGTCAATATGAATTTGACAAATTGTGTTTTTAAAAATCACCCAACGGGAAAATTGGGAACGCATACAACTTGAATTTGTTCTTCATTAAATATGCTCCCGTATTCAATTTACTCAATCTGCCTGCTGGGAAAGTTTGAGGAACCTAATCTTTCTTCATTGAATAACTCGCAATTACCTGCATTTTCATATGTGTTACACATATAAGTGGCAATAGCTCAATTATAGGAAGGATGTGGAAGCGACAGAAATATAAATTTGATAGATTTTCATTCATGTTTTTCAAATTTTATTTTGAGGATTCGAAAATATTTCATTTTCAAAATAAATATAATTTATTTGTTTGTTTACATTTTTCTGTCAAATGATGTTGACACTAGTATAACTTGCAAAAACAAATTTCCATGTGGTTGTTGTATCGTTTGTTGTACAACAACACTTGCTGTTACCTTCTATTAGTATACCATGAGTGCATGCAAACGTCCTCTATGTCTCTCTCACACACTTTTCTCCCTTTAACACAGCTGTGTGTCATTGATTTGTTTATGTTATCTGCAGCAGGTCTCTGGATTACAAACAAAATGCATTTCATCATGAAATTGCAATGGGATTCCCACTTTTAAATATTCCGTAATGCAGAAATATACAGAAAAGGTACACAGCGAAAGGGAGCAAGAACCGGAAATTGTTTGGATTAAAAGGACATCATTGGATAAAGGTAAAAAATCCAATCATTCCAAGCCGCTTAACAAAACAGCAGAGGAAACGGAAGACCAAGGAAGTGAAGGTGACGACAAACTGCCCATAGTCTATAGTAAAAATTATGGTGTACATTTTGCGAAATTGGAGAAGTTGCATCCATTCGATGCCGAAAAGGGCAAGAATATACAGGAGGTATGTATGCATGTGTGTGTAAAGTTATTTCCAGTAATCTCATTATTCTTGATTGTTCTTACAGCTCCTTATAAAATTCCAATTAATCGATAAGGGTAAATTCTATGAACCCTCCTCGGAAATCACCAAAGATGAACTATTGAAAGTACACACCGAAAAATATTTACGTAGTCTAAAATGGAGCTTCAATGCCGCCAAGATTGCCGAAATACCGATACTATTATTTTTACCCAATTGTTGGGTGCAATGTGGTTATTTGCGGCCAATGCGTTTTCAAACTGCCGGCTCAATAATGGCTGGCAAGTTGGCTCTCGAATATGGTTGGGCCATTAACTTGGGTGGTGGCTTCCATCATTGTTGTTCCTATAAGGGTGGTGGTTTTTGCCCATATGCCGATATAACACTTCTCATACAACGCATCTTTGCCGAAGAGGAACATGTGCGCAATGTTATGATTGTCGATTTGGATGCCCATCAGGGTAATGGTCATGAACGAGATTTTATGGACAATCCATTTGTTTACATTATGGATATGTATAATTATCAAATATATCCGAAAGATCATAATGCTAAACTGGCCATCCGGTATGCAGTGGAACTGAAGCCGAGGACGGAGAATAAGGAATATCTGGCGAAGTTGAAAAGGTATGTGGAAAAGACTTTAAAGAGAATGTGGATTATTTAAAAAATTATATTTTTCAAACTCAAAGTTTTTCAATGAAGCTTTAGGTGTGGATTTTTTCAAGGAATATTTTTTCAAAGGACTAGCAAAGCGTGGATTTTTAAAGGAATATTTTTTCAAAGGACTAGCAAGGCGTGGATTTTTTAAAGGAATATTTTTTCAAAGGGCTAGCAAGGCGTGGATTTTTTAAAGGAATATTTTTTCAAAGGACTAGCAAGTCGTGGATTTTTTAAAGGAATATTTTTCAAAGGACTAGCAAGTCGTGGATTTTTTAAAGGAATATTTTTCAAAGGACTAGCAAGTCGTGGATTTTTTAAAGGAATATTTTTCAAAGTACACACAGGCGTGTGTTTTTTAAAGGACTAGCAAGCCGTGGATTTTTTAAAGGAATATTTTTTCAAAGTACACACAGGCGTGGGTTTTTTTAAGGACTAGCAAGCCGTGGATTTTTTAAAGGAATATTTTTCAAAGTACACACAGGCGTGGGTTTTTTTTAAAGGACTAGCAAGCCGTGGATTTTTTAAAGGAATATTTTTCAAAGTACACACAGGCGTGGGTTTTTTTAAAGGACTAGCAAGCCGTGGATTTTTTAAAGGAATATTTTTCAAAGTACACACAGGCGTCGGTTTTTTAAAAAAATATTTTTTCAATGGACCTGTAGAGAAATACCTCTAATTAATTCTAATTTATTTTTAATTTTTCCTTTCAGAGGTTTAAAATTTGCAATGCGAGAATTTAAACCCCATTTGGTGGTCTATAATGCTGGCACAGACATTTTGGAGGGCGATCCCTTGGGTTACTTGTCAATTACACCAGAGGTGAGCACAAAGTGTTTCCATACTTTACAACCATTTCATTAATATTGTTAAATTCCTTCCTTTTTACAGGGTGTCATTGAACGTGATCAATATGTGTTTGGCATGTGTCGGGCCCGTGGCATTCCCATTGTAATGCTGCTCAGTGGTGGCTACCTGAAGCTGTCGGCCAAGGTTATTGCCGATTCTATTATGAATTTAAAACGAAATGGTCTACTCCTATCGATTCGTTGAATATATTTTACACCTATGGAAATGCTACCTTTTGATGTCAGGTTATAATGCAGAAGTCTGTGATGGAATTGTAAAAACGAAAGTATTTTAATATCTATATGTATGAAAATTCTATTTTGTATATGTATGTATAAAAAATCTATCTTCTATTGAAAATTAAAACAAAATAAATGTAAAACATTCCAAATGAAATTCGAACGCTTTTTGTATAAAATTCCCGTTTTACAAGAAGACCCCGTGATCTTCTATAAAACGTCATAGTGGTCTTTAATAGGAAATCCCAGAGGCCTTCTAAAGGAAGATCTAGTGGGCTTAATATGCAAAAAAATCCACGCCTCAGTATGGACATATATTTTTTTTTTTTTAAATCCCTGATGCGTGGACCTTAAAAAAATATTTTTAAACAATGCAAATGCAATTAATTAAATTGTCTACTACAACCTGTTCTGGATGCCTGGTATGTTTGAGCAATTTCTAAAGAAAAGAACACCCACTCCAAACTTTAAGACTGACTTCATTCATCATTCTTTTCTATTCACATGGGAAGTATTTAAAACCCAATACCAAACATTAATAACACTTTTGGAACCCTTTAGTACCTATGTTCTCTTATAGTACTTTTTTTCCAAAACTACCTCCATATCTGAACCCTTTTGGAACCATTTAGTACCTATGTTCTCTTATAGTATTTTTTTTTTTCAAAACTACCTCCACATCTGAACCCTGCACAACAACCCACACTTAATATTTCAAGTTTCCAGCCGTTTCGTCTGGGCGATGATCTGTCAGTCACTAACTCACATAACACTAAGAAAAATAATGTCACTATGTAATAAAACTGCAGAATTCCCTCTAACCACTGTTGCAAAATTCATAAAAATCGATTAAGAATTTCCGGAGTTATTCGAATTTGAATTCTACCATTATACCAAAAAATGAAAAACACCACAAAAATCGATCTTGCAAAAATGGAAATTTTTTGTCTTCATACAGCTACTGTGTGTAGGTGTAAGTAAATATATTTTACATTGCATATGTGTATAAATCACATACAATTAATCACACCCAAATATCAAGCAACAACAAATTGCATGCACCTCGAACTGCCCTTTGCCCCTACAAGTGTGCTATTCATACAACCAAGCAGACAGACATGAAAAAAACCATTTTTGAAAGACTGATTTTGTGTGATTTTTCATTTTCAGGTAATAGGCGACCAGAATCGAGCTGGAGGTGTATTTCGCACCATCGTTGAATTGAAATACAAATATCTCGGCAACTACAAAACCGATTTTTATAAAGTTTCCAGATATGGTTAGATCTGATCTTTCAAATCATTGATTTTTTTTATAAAAATGTGTGCTCTGTCTGTTAAAATGGTTCACAGCCCGTTTCTTCGAACCACTTAAGCGGCTATTCCTAACTCTTTTATTCATACCGCTATATACCGATTTAAATTTCCTTAACGACCTGGTAACTTAACGACCGCAGCGTCATCTATTGATGCAGTAGTTAAAAAAGATCATAAACGAAAAATTTAATGTCGTGGTCATAACTGTTGAACTACTGCAGATATTGTACAAATTGTGCCGTATGAAAGGTAGGAAGTCTGGCTATTTCGTGATTTAATTATAATTAAAATTTTAAAAATATGAAATGTGAAAAATTATTTAGAACCTTAACTAAGTTTTTGAAATAAAATTTGCCGTTTCCCTGCTACCAATAACCAATTTTTTACTTCATTAGGATACCCTACAGGTATCAGGAAAGACGGCCCTGAGACCCATTTACATTTGTGGTCCCTTGTTATATATATATATATATATTTATTATATTTTTTAAATATACAATTGTGGATTTTTTTAATATTTGTGTTTCATGCGACTATTTCAATAAACATTGAACCGAGATAAGATTATCGATGAAAATGGGAACCATCACCGTTTTTTTTAACATTTCTTTAAATATTACATAAGCTGTCTTAGTGGATTTTTATAGCACTAAGACTGCAGTAAGGTTGAATTTTTTGAAATTTATTCTTTGATATGCGCCCAAAAATTTTGTTCCAAATATCAAACATGGTAAATGTTACGGAGATAAAAGCTCGCAGTTTGCCAATTAGTTAAATTTTCTATCTACCTGTTCTGGATGCCTGGTAGGTTTGAGCAATTTCTGAAAGAAAATCTCCAGGTGAGCCTGACATCCATCGTTCATCAATTTGTTCATCTACACTACCATTGTATTAAGTACTATTAAGTAAAAATATTGTATGTATGTAGTTGAGTTATTCCTCTATGTACATGTTTGTTTATTGAAATAAAATAAATAAATAAATTTAAAAAATGCCAAAAATGTGTTTTATTTATGGACGTCTAAAAAATTTGTTAGTGGGGGTTCACAATATTAGTTTATTAGTAATACAGTAAGTAAACACAGTAACGCTACATATCAATACTATCTTCCAATGAATTAACAAAAAAAAACGCCCAATAATTTTGTGCAATTTTGCGCAAAATTTCACAAAAATACCAGGCGCCCAGATTGAAGTAGCAAGTAGCCCGCCAAAAAAAAAATCGAAAAATTTTGATCTGGCAACACCCAACCTGCGAAAAAATTTGGGCGCCTAAATGTATGCTACAAATTTTGTAATTTCTTTATACGGCATTGCCAGATGCAATTTTTCAAATTTTTTTCTTTTTGGCGGGCTACTTTCTATTTTCTTCTGGGCGCCTGGTATTTTTGTGAAATTTGCCCAAAAAAGCATACAAACAGGTGAATTGAAATTGTGAAATTGGTGAAATTGTGACGTCATCACACAAATTATGTCGCATGCGTAGTGAGGGGCATGTATACTTACCATATTTGTTGTATCCGTAAATAAAAACAAATAGTATTTTTTAGTAAATTCATTATTTTTTATATTTTTATTAAATATTCTTTATAAAAAATATATACATACATTTAAAAAAAAATATATACAGTAAATATAAATTTTAAGAAATAATTTTCTTAACAACTTAGCCCACTTATAGGGATTATATTCTATTGTAATCCTTCCTTGTGGAATTTTATGATTGAGAGATGAGGATAATTCCAAAATATATATTGATCGTTATCGGCGGGCCTGCCATATTTTCAAATAATTTGTATATTGTTTTCGATTGTCATCATACGAAAATTCGAGCATTTATAATTCATAAAAACCTGGAATGAAAAATAAAAGACAAATTAAAAATATATATAAGCATTAAATAATCTATACTAATAAAAGAGTAAAGTGATTGACTGACTGATTTAACGATTCATCAACGCCCAGATGAAATGGCTGAAGTTAGAATCTTGAAATTTTAGGTGAGGGTCACTCTAGGTCCAAAGGTGTCAGATAAGGCTGTGTTTTAGGAAATTCGTACTAGAACGGTACGTGATACAATTTGTATTTGCGAACCGCTAGAGCTAGAACTCTTAAATTTTAATTGAAGGTCACAGATGGAGTGTAGAATAGATATAGCAAAGGGTTTTTTTTGGACATTCGAACTATAAGTATGCGAAAAGTACTAAAATCCCAAAACATTTTGTGCATTTTTGGGTAAATTTCACAAAAATATCAGGCGCCAAGAATAAAATAAAAATCCGATTGGGCCCTGAAAAATATTCATTAAAAAATCCACGCCTTGTTTGGGCCCTGAAAAATATTCATTTAAAAAATCCACGCCTTGTTTGGGCCCTGAAAAATATTCATTTAAAAAATCCACGCCGTTTTTGGGCCCCTGAAAAATATTCATTTAAAAAATCCACGCTTTGTTTGGGCCCTGAAAAATATTCATTTAAAAAATCCACGCCTTGTTTGGGCCCTGAAAAATATTCATTTAAAAAATACACGACTTGTACAAACTTTGAAAAATATTCCTTTAAAAATCGACGATTTGTATGAACCTTGAAAAATATCCTTTTAGAAAATACACGCCTTTATAAACCTTGAAAATATTCTTTTAGAAAATACACGCCTTTATAAACCTTGAAAATATTCTTTTAGAAAATGCACGCCTTTATAAACCTTGAAAATATTCTTTTAAAAATCCACGCCTTATTTGGGGACTGGAAAAATATTACTTTAAAAAATCCATTAGTTTCCTTTGCATTTGCTTAGTTTGTCTCATCATATTTTTTAACGCTTACCAACACTGTTCTACTACCCAATGAACGAACAGCTGATTTACTGCTCTTTGCCTTAATTTGTTGTTATTGTTTTCCTTTTGCACTTTACTTTGACAGCCAAACAAAAGATAAACAAAGCGGTTAATCACACTCACTGTTATTTTTGTTGTCGTGTCGTTACTAGTTTGTTGTTTGTTTGCTGATATAAAAGAGCAAAGCCATTCCTCTAATGAGAGAGTGTATATGTGAGAATTTTATTGTTCGAATAATAAAGGAAAAACAAAAAAGTCACGGTACCAAAAACCAACGTTGCTGCCAACAGTCACAGTCGTTTTTATTTACAAGTAAAACATAAACATCCACCAAGCTCTCTAGTGCAAATATTTTGTTAAAAAGAAGATATTAACATTTTATAAATTTAACGGAAACTACCTCGTCTTTTACTCCACAATTTTGCGAATAATAAATAAATTTGAAAGTAATAAACAAATTGAGACCCTATTACTGTGCATTTAAAACGTCTAGAAGGTGAAACGGCAAAATAGACGACAACAAGAATAGAAATCTTTATTAACTTTTGTACCAACAAATAGTGAATATTGTCACGCTGTGTTTATCCCACATACCAAACATATCGCGACAAACACACACACACATATATCTTGACCGCACCAATGTCAATTTCAAGGAGAATCTCTAAGAAAATCTTTAGGAAATCATTTGTAAATATTTGAAGGTAAGAAAATTTGAGTTGGTTTTGTAAAGTTGCATTTTTCAGGGTTTTGTAAAGTTGCATGGTGGACTAGGGAAGAGAAAAAAATTCCCCAAAGGAGAGTGTGCCTAAA